GGTGATCCAGGCTGACCTGGACAGGCTCAGCAAATGGGCGGACGAGAACCTGATGGTGTTTAACACTGAAAAATGCAAGGTTCTCCACCTTGGGGGGAAGAATCTGCAGCATCCTTATAGGCTTGGCAGTGCTATGCTGGCTAGCACTATGGAAGAAAGAGACTTGGGGATCATCATTGACCACAAGAGGAACATAAGCCTTCAATGCAATGCTGCAGCTAGTAAAGCTAGCAAAATGCTGGCTTGCATCCATAGATGATTCTCAAGCAAATCCCAGGACGTCATTCTCCCATTGTATTCGGCCTTGGTGAGGCCACAGCTGGAGTACTGCGTCCAGTTTTGGGCGCCACAATTCAAAAAGGATGTGGAGAAGCTTGAGAGAGTCCAGAGAAGAACCATGTGTGTGATCAGAGGTCAGGAAAACAGAGCTTATGACAACAGGTTGAGAGCTATGGGTCTCTTTAGCCTGGAAAAGCGCAGGCTCAGGGGTGATCTGATGACCACCTATAAATTTATCAGGGGTGCTCACCAGGATCTGGGGGAACGATTGTACACCAGAGCGCCCCAAGGGATGACAAGGTCTAACAGTTATAAACTACTGCAAGACCATTTCAGGCTGGAGATAAGGAAGAATTTCTTTACTGTTCGAGCCCCTAAGGTCTGGAATAGCCTGTCTTCAGAGGTGGTTCAAGCGCCCACACTGAACACCTTCAAGAGTAAATTGGATGATTATCTTGCTGGGATCCTATGACCCCAGCTGACTTCCTGACCTTTGGGCAGGCGGCTGGACTCAATGATCCTCTGAGGTCCCTTCCAGCCCTAATGTCTATGAAATCTATGAAATTTTGTGCTTCGAGGATCGTGCGCTTGAGCAATGACCACTCTTCGTGCACCCCTTTGACTTCCCTTCCTTGTTTCTCCATCACCTCCCCTACTAATGCTCTGAGCCTGTCAGAGTCAGCATTCTTGAAGTCCAGGACTTCAATCCTGCTGGTTGAGTTGTTAACCTTGCAGCGGACAGTGACCCTGATAATTTCAGGGTCATTGTCACCCAGGTTACCCTTAATGTTCAAGCCACACACCAGATCATCTCCCTTGGCTCAGACCAGGTCCAGGAGAGTGCTGCAGGGTGTAGCCCTCTATGGCTACACTTCAGTCATGCAAGGAGTGGCACCAGGTCTCCATGATCCCTACCAGGTCATATTGCCCACTAGAGGGCTAGCTCCTCCTGCTTATTTCCCATGCTCCTCACATTGGTGTACAGGCAGCTGAGGCCCTCAATTGACACCCTTGTTTTCCTGACAGACTGTGGGAGAACGGTTTGGTTAGCATTTTCAGAAACAAGTTGTGCTAGTGTCCTGCACAAGGGAGCTATCCTGTGTGCCAGTCCCTGGGCATGCTCCACTTGGAGTTTCCCCGTTCCCCAGCAAAGTCAGTTTAAAGCCCTATCTAGTAGATCAGCCATCCTGGCTGAGAACAGGGCCTTACTTCTCTGCGTGAGGTGAATGCCATCTCGTCCTAGAAGTCCTCTCTTTCTCTGAAGTGTGTGCTGTGGTTGAGGTAACTGAACCCCTTTCAGTAGCACCATTGTCTGAGGCATCTGTTGACCTCTTCCACGCAGCCTTCCCTCCTGGATCTGTGGCTTGCAACAGGGAGCACAGAAGAGAAAAGTAAGTATTCCCACCCCGGCGTCTCCTCCTTGGGGTGGGAATACTTACCTCCTGAATAGTTACCTCCTCCTCCTATGTCTCTGTTGGAGACTCCTCCTGTGTAGTGAGGGGATTGTACCTGTTGTGCAGTGCCAGGGGAGAAGTGGCCCTAGCTGTGCGTGCTCTGGATCTGGAGACAACTGTTTTCCAGGTAGCTCCAGGGGGGGTCTTTGTGGCCAGTCTTCTTTGTGGCCTCGATCTCCAGATGGCTGGGGGAGCTGTCCCAGTTGCCCGGCAGCTTGCTTTCCAGCCACGTGGAGATCAGGACCTATCCCAATCCTCATGTGGCTGGGAGGCAGATGTTGGAATAGCTCTCCCCTGCCCTGTGGAACAGCCCCCAAATCCCCTGCCAGCCCAGGGCTGGCACCTGGAGGAGCCTGGAGCTCCCTTTGGCTGCTATGGGGGGGCAGAGCAGGGCAGGAGCAGCCCTGGGCTGAACTGCTCCCATTGACCACACAAGCAGGGACATGTATTTGCAGCAGCGCAAATAGTAGCAGCACAAATCTGTACCGCTGCTTTTTGCCACAGTGTGTACACACACACACACACACACACACACACACACACACACTGTTCTGCTGCTCCATACGCTGCAGTGGGGGCTGGCTGGGACACAGGGTGCCTCAGCGCAGGGCTAGCCAGGAGGCAGCCCCCATACTGAGGCACCCTGGGCTCCAGCCAGCCAGGGAGCAGCACGCAGAGACAGGGGTTAGGCAGTCCCCCTGCCTGCCCCTCTGCCTCCTCATGCTGCAGAGCCCCCATGCAGAGGCACCATGCACTCAGCCAGCTGCTCCCTGGCTGTCTAGGGTGCAGTATGCCTCAGCACAGGGGCTGCACATGCCTTAGTACAGGGGCTCCACAGCACAGCTTCCACACTGAGGCACACAGTGATAGGGGAGCTACCAGCCCAGGGCTGCCTGATTCCCCATCTTGAGACGCCCTGTGCCTCAGCCAGCCGGGGAGTGGCTGGCGGGGCGCAGAGTGCCTCAGCACAGGGGATCCACAGTATTCAGAGGTGGAGGAGCTGCCTGCTCCCCTGTCTCCACATGCTGCTCCCTGGCTGGCTGGGGCATAGGGTACCTCAGCATGGGAGTTCCCCATTTAGCATACTTTGGTCTGCTTTTTTCTCTGGAGGTGTTTTTTGCTACTAGAAAATCTTGATATCAAATTTTGTTCCAGCACTTCAAAGTAGCAACTCCGCACACAGTTTAACATTCAATGGGTGCAGTGTGTAGTGCCACAAACCGCACATGCCCGTATGTCTGCCTGCACATCTGCTTCCAGCTGTTGGGAGCAAATTTGCACCTGGTAGGTGCACATTCAGGTGTGTGTGGGGCGACAGTTTAATGTGCCTGAATTTTCTGCATATAATATTCAGGTGCATTAATTGCACGTGTGACATGCTCTGTGTCTCCTAAAGTTGGAGAAATGCAAGTTCCAACCCCCGCTGGGTTAGCAGTGCCTAAAACCCTGATCTTTTGTTTCCTGGGTGAGTACCTACCCACTCAGCTATTTATGATAAAACAGGGGTAGGCCCTGTTGGTGCTGTCACTTCCTCCTTCTTTCACCATGGGTTTTTGCTGGACTTGATTCTGTGATTTACACTCACCCAGTGTACACATGGGTGGAACCCCATACCTGCCGAGCTAGCACATATCTAACTGAACCTGCATAGTAGCTATGTAGACACTTACCTGTCTATTCTGCAAGGGCAAAAGAATTGCAGATTCCACTGAAGTGTGAAAAATGCCACTTACACAGGCCATTGGGACACACAAAATGAAATAGGATTCTGCCTTGCTTTCCATCAAAGTAAGACACCTGTTTAGGTTTACCACCTCCTTTCATAACTGAGGCGCAGAATAAACAGCTTTTGCAAATAACCACCTGCCTAACAACAGGTCACATCTCCTCTTAAAAATCTATCTTGAACTAAAACCACAGTAAGTTATTCTCTTTCTCTTTTTTTGAGAAGGATACAAAAAGACTTTTCAGAATAATTCCATTAGAATTTATTTTGGCTTAGTAAACCTACCAGCAAATAAATCCTGGGAAATGTCCAGCTATTTCTTTTGTTAGATTTTTTAGCTTTGTTTTGGCCCACTTACCTCCATTGGAATGTCTTTTGAAAGTCCATGTATTATATTTTACCAGATCCAGTGAGAGAGATTTTTCTTCCCACCCCCAATTTCTTTGCAGAACCAGTGATTAAGTTTTCTGAAATTAAATACAGCATTCAAGAGCCTCAGGAGCCTGGAGAGATTGCAGTTGTAAAGATCCCTGTTTTACGTCTGGGAGACGGCTCCAAAATATCAGTTGTAAGAATACACACTAAGGATGGGTCAGCCACTTCTGGAGAAGACTATAATCCAATGTCAGAAGGTAAGCATTTTCACTGAATGGTGGACTTTAGAAACATCAGCCCAGCCAGTGCTGTTGTGCATATGAATGAAGGATATGAATAACAGGATGTTGTTACAATAGAAAAATAGTGAGTGCTGTATTTTAAGAGTCTCAATCACTGTTGCTACCATGCTTGAAGATCTTTGGCTAAGAATTTATGAAAGAGAGGAATAGTATTCGGTGCCTGAATCCTATTGAAATTCAGTTGAAAATGGGCACCTAACTCTCTATGGCTACTTAAATCCCTAAGACAGGAGCTTCTTGATAAGCAGAAGACTGGAGCTTCTTCAGGACTTCTTCATAAGAATTCACATACAGTTTGGTCCAGCCATTGAATGGCGAGGTGGGGAAGGAGCTCCCCCCACACCATCATTCCCAATTCTGGCAGCAGAGTTTTGGTTTTGAGCTCAGGCAGAAGCCCTTTTGGTTGGCAGAGGAGCGCTGGTGTGATAAAACATTTAACCCTAATAGGGAAAAAGGGAGAAGATAGAGAAATTGTGTTCAGAGGCACTAGTCTGCTGTCTCAGCAGCATTGAGATGATGTTGTCCTGTTTTTACTTATCTGGAGCTTTATCTCAGTGTGGAACCTTTGGGATGAAAAGGAAAGCAAGGAGTGAGTGTCTATGGGGTGGGGGGAGCTCCTCCCCCACCTTGCCAATGCCCCCATAGACTTACCTGCGGGGAGGTAACAATTAGTGACATTTGGGCATGAGTCAGTTGTTACATGTGTTCACACATTAGTAGGTGCACATGCCTAGCATATGGGGCTGATCTCAGTTTGGTCCTGTAGCTAATACTATAATATAAATAACAAATAACAATATTCTTAAACAGTATCAAATACTAAAGTTGTCTGTAAAATACCTTCTTTCTCTTGAGTGTGTGTTTAACTGTATAATTATCAATTTAATACAGCTTTTAATCTACTGGGTATGCAGAAAAACAGTTATTGGGGCCATGCAAGTGGGCCATGGTGTTTTTATAGCATGCTAGGTTGGGCCTCCGGAAGAAAAAGTTTGAGAACCCCTCTCCTAGAGAGCTTCCCTCTGTGTAAGCATTTCCTATTAGCTTTAGGCAGGTCCACGCTGGTCTCATTGACATCAGACAGCTCCCTGCTCTGCATGCAGGTTTTTAGATCCTGTTCTGAGACCTGCATACAGGTTTTAGACCCTGTTAGATGCTTTAACTCTCCTCTTGCATTGTACAGGGAGCCTAGACAGGTGGGGTTCTGCATTCCACTTCAGGGGCATGTACCCTAAAAGTGTTGGACCCCTACCCTCTGGTTTTTAGGCATCATTTTTTGGATCTCCATTCAAAATGCATATATGCAAGGGGGCATCTACTCAAGGTCCCCCTACAAAAATGTGGTTAAAATGTCGTTCTCAAATACCTATAAAAATTTACTCCGGCAATTCATGTGTCCTTTGTCAGATAAAAATTAATAAGTTTATACTTAGGCTTAGTTATTTAGTTTGCCCATTTCAATACTGCAGTCATCCTAAGCTGATTCGGGAAGAGCCAAACTGTTTTGTTTGAACAAGGTATGTTACTTGAGTAGACTGATTTTAGAAAAGAGGTTAACTTGTTTGTCTCTAAAACAGACATTGAATTCAAAGAAGGAGAAACTGAACATTTTGTTGAAGTTGAGGTCCTATATGATGGAGTGAGAGAAATGAGAGAAGCATTTACAGTCCACTTGAAAACTGATGAAAATATGATAGCTGAGATTCAGGTAAAGGTTGTGTTTACATTTGTTGTTGTTATGTAGGTGGTTATGTACTGATGTTATAATAAACTGATAGAGAATGTTAAGGGAGCTTGCACAGGTAAGAAGGGAAGGAGATTTGGTTACAGGGTGGAGGGAGGCGTGGGGCAGTGATGTAGGTCTCTTGATCCATAACTCAGGGACCCCATCTTCTAGTACCCATCCCCTGAGCCACATTGTCCAAGGTTTACTTGTTGTGGCATGTTATATCTTTCCCACTTGGCTGGACAATATACAGGGCACCCAACTTTAGAGAAGTGTTGGGAGTGCTCCTGTGAAGAAGGACCTCTGTAGCCCAGGGCCTCATGATCAGGGCACATCTCTAAGAAGTGGGAGATGTTCAAACCCCTTCTAGGTGAGGAGACCAAGAATCTGGGTTTTCCAGGCCCTGAGCAGTTGTTGAGCTGAAATGAAGGAAGTCGTCTCCCCTCTGTTTTGTGATGTACATGGCTTTATGTGACATCCAGGGGAAGTATAATCTAAAACATGTGTAAGTGGCTCAAAATGCCACTTGCATAACTAAATTAGCTGCATAACTGCTATCTACTAGTCTAAAGGTATGGTTGGATTTGGTCCCTAATGTGGATTTAGATGGGTAAACTAGCCACCTGCTTTTACCATCAATGAACAAGTAAGGCATTGCTTTCTCTTTACATTTGGTATCTGAATTATCTTTCCCTTCCTGAGTGTGCTGAGAGCTGATGTCACCCTGGGTATTCATTTTACCCTTCCCCACAGTTAACCAGTGAATAGGCTTAATCAGAGAGGCTGAAAAATTGGGGAGCAAAGGGGTTAATATCAGAAGATACACCTTTAAGCAAGTCATTGGAACAATGAGGGGAAACTAGAGAAAATTATATTTCATGAGTAAAACCAGAATAAATTTTAGCAATAGAAATTACAGCTGCAAGTACTCTTCTTTTAAAAATATTTTCAGCTGTAGACGTAACCTTTTAACTCTCACAATTCAGGTGAACAAAGCCATTGTGTACATTGAAGAAATGGACAGCGTTGCAGATGTGACTTTTCCAGCTGTGCCCCAGCTTGTGTCGCTCCTGATATATGATGACACATCTAAAAGCAAAGAGAACCCACAGCCTCCAACAGGCTACCCTGTTGTGTGTGTGACGGTATGATCTCTTCCAAGCAATATCATTGCTAATCCAGTGCTTTTGAGCCTCTCGGTATAACTGATTTGATTTGTATGTATTGATATGTATTGAATACTCCTCCTTGGCCCATGAGTGTAGGAGGGCTATTAAGAAGGCCAAGGCAGGGGTGGAGCTCAGGCTAGCGACCAGGATTAAGGACAACAAAAAGTCCTTCAAATACATTGGTAGAGGGCACCGGGTAATGTAGGACCCCTGCTAGACTCAAATGGTAATCTTGTGGCTATGCCAGATGAGAAAACTTGTTAAAAATTTTGGCTCTTTGCCTCTGTCTTCTTGGACAGGGACCAGGACAGCTCTCCTACCACAGGTAGGGGCAATCTTGGGGATAGCACTGCCAGGCCTCGGGTCTGTGCAGATGTGGTTAGGGATCTTCTGGAAGGGCTGGATGTTTTTAAATCTGTGGGCCCTGATGCCCTCCACCCACGGGTGTTGAGAGAGCTGGCGGGGGTCATTGCTGTGCCCTTGGCCCGGCTGTATGAGCGATCGTGGTCCACGGACCAGGTGCCCGGAGATTGGAAACTAGCTAATGTGGTCCCCATTTATAAGAAAGGGAGATAGGAGGACCCAGGAAACTATAGGCCCATAAGCCTCACATCAGTCTTCGGGAAAATCCTTGAAATAATTATCAAGGATCATATCTGTGAGGGGCTGGCAGGAGAGATCATGCCCAGGGGAAATCAACATGGGTTCATCAAAGGCAGGTCCTGCCAGACCACCCTGATGGCCTTTTATGACCAGGTAACTAAATCCCTGGATGATGGTGTTGCCATGGACATAGTTTTTCTGGACTTTAAGAAGGCCTTTGACACTCTCTCTCACCCCATTCTCATTAATAAATTGAGCAACTGTGACATTGATGCCTACACAGTTGGATGGGTTAAAAATTAACTGATGGGGCGCACCCAGAGAGTGATGGTGGACGGGTCGTACTCAACCTGGCTGGATGTGAATAGTGGGGTCCCCCAGGGCTTGGTCCTCGGGCCTACACTGTCCAACATCTTCATCAGCAACTTGGACGAGGGGGTGGAAAACAGGTTCAAGTTTGCCAATGACTCCAAGATGTGGGGAGAGGTAGGCACTCCCAAAGGGAGAGAGAGGCTGCAATTAGATTTAGATAGACTACAGAAGTGGGCGGATGGTAATGGGATGGGGTTTAATATAGATAAATGCAGGGTGCTGCACCTTGGGAGAAGGAATCCACAGCATACATACAGGCTGGGGAGCTCCCACCTTGTGAGCAAAGAGGCGGAAAGGGATCTTGGAGTCATTATTGACTCCAAGATGAACATGTGCCGCCAATGCCAGACTGCAGCCAGCAAAGCCAACCGCACCTTGTCATGCATCCAAAGGTGCATCTCAAGCCAGTCCAGAGAGGTGATACTCCCCTTCTACGCGACGTTGGTCAGGCCACAATTGGAGTACTGCGTCCAGTTCTGGGGACCGCACTTTAAGAAGGATGTGGCCTGCCTTGAGTGGGTTCAGAGGAGGGCCACCCATTTGGTTGCAGGGCAACAGGGCAGGCCCTATGAGGAGAGGCTGAGGGACCTGAACCTGTTCAGCCTCAGCAAGCAGAGGCTGAGGAGGGATTTGGTGGCTGCCTACAAACTTGTTAGGGGAGATCAGCAGCAAATAGGAAGGGCCCTATTCCCCCCAGCAACACCTGGGGTGACGAGAAACAATGGCCAGAAGCTGCTGGAGAATAGGTTCAGGTTAGAGATTAGGAGGCACTATTTCACTGTTAGGGTGGCTAGGATCTGGAACCAACTTCCTAGGGAAGTGGTCCTCCTCCTACCTTTGGTAAATTCAAAAAGAAGTTGGACAAACACCTGTCTGGGGTCGTGTGATCCCAGCGTGTGCTCCTGCCAGAGCCGGTGGGTCAGACTAGATGAACTGTTCAGGTCCCTTCTGACCCCAAAATACTATGAAACTGTGACAACAGAGGGCACCCAATTTCTGTGCGCTGCTGTTAGACTTGAGTGAGTTAGGGTTCCTTACCCTGATCCATCTTCCTTTCTTTCTTTTTTTAAATAAAAGATTAGTGTGTGTCCAGAGCACATGCTTGTCTGGAATATTTTACAGCAATAACTCCAAGATTGTAGCAAGGCTCTTTTACACGGTAGTGTTTTGAAGGAGTGCTAGAGAATGCCATGATGTTCTTTTTTTAAAAGGGCAACCCTAGTGGCAGAAAATTGAAATTAAAGTACCCTAACCATGTTCATATAGAATCAGACTTAGAACCCCAAACCGAAGGACTGTAAGATTATTATCTAAATATTAGTATCCTTGTTTTAGGAACAGATCTACAGAAAGGCTAAGATATGAGTTTTCAAATGTGTGCGCCCACGGTTAGGCATGTAAGACACTTAACTGTGTATCTGTTGAATTGGCATCTACATGTAAGCAAAAATGATAACCATAAAGAAGTGAAACTATACTGATAATGTTTTAATTACCATTAAAATTATATTTCATAGATTTCATAGATTTCATAGACATCAGGGCTGGAAGGGACAATTTAATGCTAACAATTTAATTGTTAGCATTCCTGGAGCAGACATGGGAAGCAGAGCATCTTGTTTATTTTGCATATCTGCCAACTTACAGGCATGTAATCCCAAGTATTCAGACTATGACAAGACTGGCTCTATCTGTGCTGCTGAAAACATCAATGACACCCTGACCCAGTACCGCTGGCTTGTCAGTGCTCCAAGTGGCAGCGACGGTGTCACCAGCCCCATGCGGGAAGTGGATTCCAACACGTTCTTTACCAGCACCAAATCCATCTCCCTGGACTCCATTTACTTCCAAGCGGGATCAAGGGTGCAGTGTGCAGCACGTGCTGTGAATGCCAATGGTGATGTTGGTTTGGAATTGCTCAGTCCAATTTACACAGTGAACAGAGAAGATGGTAAGTGGTAACATGCTGATTGTGACACCTTGGAGTAGGGGAAGACAATGAAAGCTGCACTGCTCGCTGCTGATATAGGTCAGGTCTAAGCAGGCTTCAGTGTTGTATATAGTTTAAATTTATTTTGTGTAGAGAAAAAGCTTGTTTCTGAAATAAAGCTGCATAAATTGCTACATTGACTTTGTAATTTTAAGAGTTTATACCCATGACTCAGCTGCCATTGGCATAAGGAAGAGGTGGAGATGGTAATTATTTATTTGGCATCTTGTTCTAGTGAAGTTGCCAGTGGGTTCACTCCTAAACATGTGTCCTCTGCTTTTCACATTATAAACATGTGCCACAGAGATATATATTTCTGTTTTATATAATTCGAGACAAAACAATACCAACATACCTTTGAGCATGAAACCATTCAGAAACCTGAAGAACAGGCCAGAATTAAAGCATTGGCATAGTCTAGTAGACTAAAAGAGAAACCCACTGCAGAGTTTAAGCCCTGGCTTCACTGGTGCATGAAATTTCTAGCCTCATGTCAGGTTTTTCAATACAGTACATGGGTTAGCAGAGATTTGCAGAAGTCAGCAAGGTAAACAGGGGGCTGTTCAAGCTAGACAGTAGACAATACTGTGGGTTTAGGCCCCATCCAGCTTTCCCTCTAAGCTGCACTAAAGTGCAGGCACGCCTGGCCATGCACCATGAGCACACCTGTGTGGCCGCCCACACCGCACAGCTTAGAGGGAACGCTGGCCCCACCTCAGAGATAATGAACCACCTCACTCTGGGCCAGAAAGAAGTGGCACCTACCTCCTCTCTGTTTCCTGGGTTGCGATCTCTCTCCTGGAATTATGTGTTTAAACCAAGTGAACTCTTTCTCACAGTAAACCAGATTGAAACCCTCCATGATACTAGTGATTAGAGAGGAGAGAGACCTGTTTTATAATTTGGAGAAAAAGCTCAAAAATGGATCTCCCACATCCTGAGAAGGTGCCAAAACCCCCAGGCTGTTAGGAGTTCTCAGGCTCTAAGTCTCTCCTGGTTAATTTTTTCCACTTAACAAAAATAACCAAAAATTCAGTGTGTGAGAGATGCCAGGGGAGTACTGGGCATATGAGAGAAAGGTTCAAGTCCCTGCTTTGTACACAAGGCCTCAGAAAAGTCTCATCCCACAGTTAGGGATAAATGTACTCTCTGAGAACCTAGCAGATAAAGCCCTGCAGGCCAAGAGGCATTTTGAGAATTCCTCTGGGGTTTCTGAATGGGCAGCAGTTCCAAGTCACTTAACAATGTTGAGACTTAGGTGGTTCTGCACCTGCCCAGTGATAGGGGCTTTATTCATAGACAAGGTTAAGCAGCAGCTGAGTGAAGGTTTTGTGGATCTCAGGGGTGCCTGTATATATTTTATTTAGGCTCCTAGAATTGCTGTTAAGCACCTAAGTCCCTTTGTAAAGTTAGCCCTCCAGATCTATACCTGAGACCCCAGCTTCTAAAGGACTATATGCTTTGGACCTCAGACTGCTGTAACCTAGTCTGGCTACAGACACGTCAGAATTGCCTTTAACTTATGTGACAGTTTAACAGAGTCCTCAGGATTACTCCTTCTCCCCTCTCAGGTCTATGTCAGCCTCACATCCCAGGATCTGTTGGAGCAGAACCTTTCTCAGCCAAAATTCACTACATGGGTCCAGAAGATCCTGATTACCCCAGTCTGATTAGATTAACAGTTACAATGCCGCATATGGATGGTAAGCACCATGAGGTCACACAAGCCTTTGAATGTTTCATCTCCAGTAGTCACAAATACTTGGCAGTTGTGAAGTGTGTTCCCACCTTAAGAGAGTTTCTGGCAGAGGACTTTTTTTTTGGAAGAGACAATGCTGTATGCTTGTAGCCAGAGCAGCATTCATCCTTGTCCACAGCTAAAGGTTGTTGAGGGTTTGCCAAACACTGTTACAGCCACGTATGTTTTAATGTGGTTTGCATCTGAAATGGAAACCAGTATAAAATTCCTGTCACCAATATCCTGGTTCTTCTCCTTCACAGTGGTAATTCCAGGGATCCCAGTAGAGTTACCCCTGTTTTTTTGCCAGGGTGACTGGGAAGCCCAGTGCTATAGACTTGACTTTAGAAAGAGCCATTTCAGAGCATGGATAGACGAGCAATGAAAGTGCTTTAAAATTCTTGTACTTTACAGCCAGTCTGCTGTAACTGTGTCATCTGCCTGGTTTATTCTTCTCCAAGTAGAAGCTAAGCCACTGTAACTTTACTCCTGATTCTTTCAGGTTTAAAATTATACACCAGTTACAGTGAATCACCTAATGCACACTTCTAAAAACACCCCTTCACACTGCTGCCCCTGCCTCTTTAAAACAGTCTATTGTTCTATCTATCCATGGCTGTGCTTTGCGCTAATGTGGTTCTGGAGGTGAAAGTGTCATATTACTGTGTTAGTAAAAATCATAATTGGAAGACACCAGCTTCCAACAGGGTAGTTATAATGTTTCTAGTAGAACCAAGTGTGATAAATGTTTGAAAAACCTAGGGAATGGTTAGATGTAAAAATTGCGTAGCTATGAAAGAATACTGGGATGAGCCGTTACACTGCAACTATTATACCAGTGTGATTCTGTAGTGATACGAGTATAACAAAACCATCCCATCTGTGCTGCTTCATCCAGAACCAAAGTAACCACAGTTTAGGTCACTTATATTGCTATAGGGTCATGCAGATGTGAAAGACATGAAAGTTACAGCATGCTCATGCATGTTTCCCTTGCCTTTTGATCTTGCTGCAAATGTACTTTTTTCCATGCCCTCAGTTGCTTTATCCAAAGCAAGGGGAAAATCTTGGACTACTTTACTTCTTATTTTTACAGAAGAGACGCATACACAAACACACCCATGGAAATCATTCTGTTTATTCATGTGGCAACTTCTCCTGGGCCATCTACATTAGGAAGATGGGTGTTCAGCAATAATGTAGACATAGTACAGATGGGATGGAGAATTGTTTAATACTATTTTAGAAAGCATGTTTGAGCTATACCAGTGGCTTCTGCAGCTATTGGAAATAGCTTTGCCTGATATATGTTCATGTGGAAGACTTCCCTAGCAGCATAGGAATAAGACATTTACTGAAATTTTTTTTTGGCAGTAGCTTACTTCCCTAATACACACTAACCTAGAAGAGGGCACCATGGCATCATCTAGCTCTAACTCTACTCTGCCCAACTATATTTAGCAGTTTTTCACTTTCTTAGTGAAGTCAAGGTTTCCATGTCGTCCTTTGTAACACTGCTACACTGATGGTGACAGGAATAGGTATCTAGACAATTGTTTTTAAAAATTGTATTTAACACTTTAATGCACTATATCTTTTAACTCTATCAAACTAATGTTTTTCTCAAGCATAACATTTGCTCTCAGCAATGGGGTTTTTACTGTGGGGGAGGGTATTGATGTAAGGGAAATAATGATTTATCAAAAAACATCCCTTAGGTGTAGTTTAATAGAAGGTGCAGCTAGTGAAATAGGTGCAGCTAGTGAAATAAGTGCAGTTAATAAACAGAGCATACTTCACATACACCTACTGCCCCATGAAAAGACATCTGGAACCAAGTAGTAAATCCTTTACGCACACACTGTCTCTCCATACTCAGATATATCAAGTTCATGTATGACTTAGCTTCAGAATTTCTCTCTACAGTCGAAAGATGATTCTCATCCTACCAAGTTAATAGCATCCACAAAGAAAGTAGGTTTACTATGTGCTTAGAACAGTTGAGCAGTCAGTCTTCTCAGTTCACGATAGCAAGTGGATGGCGTGCCTTATGTTTCAGGAATGCTGCCTGTTATTTCAACTCATCCATTATCCAATTTCGAGCTGACTCTCAGCCCTGATGGCACTCGAGTAGGCAACCATAAGTGTTCCAACCTGCTGGACTATAATGAGATCCCAACCAAACATGGCTTCCTGACAGAGAGCACCAAGAACCCTGAAGTGATTGGGGAAACTTCACCCTATCAGTATAGCAACCTCCTGCGATCTGCCAAGACCTTGCGTTTCTACCGCAACCTCAACTTGGAAGCTTGTCTCTGGGAGTTTAACAGCTACTATGACATGTCAGAGCTGATGGCTGACTGTGGTGGCTCCATTGGCACAGATGGCCAGGTATGTATCAAAGCAGCAGCACTCACTTCTGGGCCTTAAGTTTTGAAAAACAAAAGACTAAATCCCATTTTATTTTACATGCTTGAGTGGTGCACGCACAGTCACAGTTTTCCCACTGAGCAGGCTCACTAGGATTGTGCTGTGGACAGGCAGGTACACAGGGAAATAGAAATCCCTGAGTAGGCCTGTAAGGCTGGGTAAGCCCCAAAATTTTAGTCACTGTGAAACCATGACTAGCAGGGAAACAAGGAAGACCCTCCCAATTTTTGCCTAGTAGTCTGGTGGTTAGGACAGTTGCCCAACGGACAGAAGATCCAATATAGTGAAATAGGATGTAGTCCTATGCCTTAACCAAACCCTTCCTAATAAAATCCTTAAAGGTATTTTGTGCTGTCATGTTGATCATTTGCATTGGTTATCTGGAGCACAAATCTTCTAGCATCTTCCAGAAGAGTTCAGAAACCCTAGAGCTTCTTGATATTGCAGCAGTTCCTATATTATTTGACCAACCAAAAGCAATTTAAAAGCAATTTGGAAAATTGCCCAGTCACTGTCAGTTCTCAACATTTCTCATAAGTCAGCATGCACCTTGCATTGCTGACCCCACTTCAGCATGTCTGCTGTAATTATTTGCCTCACCACAAATCCCCTTTCTGTATTTCCTCTGAATTAATTTAAGAGTGAAAAAAGAGCAAAAAAGGCTGCTTGCCAATTGTGAGTTCCACAGGAGCACTACTTGTTCCTGAGACAAGGTCTCTGGCACACTCTTAAGGCCTAATCCCCTTTTAAGTAGTAACCAGGACAAACATTCATTCAATTAATGGTAGCATAAAACGGGGAATAAGTCACGAAGTTATTACACAAAAAATGTCCCAGTCACCTGACCAAGTCTCCCAGCTGTGGGGACACCATGCACCCAGCTTGCCATGATCCCAAGGCATTCCCTGCACTGGCAATATGGCACTGTTGGGATGTGGAGTTGTACGTGTAGCATGGCAGAGGCATGATTGTTGGATCATGGTTCAGATCCCATTGTACCTTTAGCTGAACATTTGCCTGGGGCCTTAACAGCAGTGCTCCTTTAACTAGGAAGCCTGACAAATGCCCTAGCAGGGAAGTGAATTGGTATTAATGTATAATATAAGTGCTGCTTTAAAACTTCAGGGGAAAATAGATGGCATAGAAACTATTCGGTGGAACCTGCCATTCATGAACTTGTGGTGACATTCGATTGCCATTTGGTAATCGCTGACAAATGTGCATTCTAGCAATAATTATAATAATGCATTTTAGCATTATTTAGCAATAATGGACTCTAAGATGCTGCTGTAGATTCATAGATTGTGAGGCTGGAAGGGACCTTGGGGGATCATCAGGTCCAGCCCCCTGCACCAGGCAGGAAAGACAACTGGGAGTCAGGTGACCCCAACAAGGTGACCACCCAGTCTTCTCTTGGGGGAGAGTCTGTAGGGTAAGTGACAGCCATCAAGAAGACTGCATGCTGGGGAAATAAAAAAATTTTCAAAACCCCATTCAAAATATGGGGAACCATCTTCCTGAGCTTATCAGACCACAATCCCAGATGCTATGTGTGAATTGTTAGACTGTCCAACTTAGGCGCACACAGTTTGTGATGAAGTTCTGTGACTGGACAGGAAGGAACCTGATGCATGGAAATGTTCGAACTATAAATAAAAAATTCAAAGGGACCAGGCCTTGGAGTTGGGGGGGCCTCAAACTGCAAAGTCCTTTGGGTGAATATTTAGCGCACAGCTATGAGCTTCTAAAAGTCTGTGTGGCCCTGCATGTCTGGGATTGACCACTTGGTTGATTTTTCTTTATGTATGGAGTCCTCAAATGTCGGGTACTTTGTTGAGATCAGAATAGTGGAAAGTAGCAAGTATATTATCTGTTCTGTCATACCCACTACAGCCTCTGTATGGACCCAGGAAAGAGAGAGAGAGAGAGAGAGAAACTCGAACTATAAAATTCGGACAATATTTTCAAACAGCAGAGTTTAAAGGTGCTAAAATGTGAAGTTTTGGTTCAATCTATTGTACAGACAGGTGCCATTGGAAAACCTGGTTCTGGATCCAGGTGCAGTTTTTGACCACCCCCAAAGTACACGGCTATCCAGATCTGACCTTTAGATTAATCCAGCTCTAATCGTCACACATCTTGCAATTAATTATGAAAGGAATGAAAGCAAAAGAACCAAAACTGTAATTGGTGCTAATTCTGAAAGAGCACTGGCTTTGTAGGTTTGAAAAAGGTCTCCAGGGAATATGAGATTGGTAATCTCAATTCAACACTGTCATGGATATTTCTCTAGACCCTTTTATTTCTTTACAGTGTGGAACAACTCTCAGGGCAATGTTGGCTTGCCTTGTGGTTTGCCAGAAATGCACGAGTGCCTGTCTGATTTTAGTCAATGCCAGAACTCCAGTTCTTTTCATATGCCTCAGAACATATCCAAAATGAAGAACAGATGTGTAAGCCTGTCTAGTGAGGAGTGTAAAAGAAAGACCTTCCGTAAATTTGACTGACTGAAGATAGAGAATGAGGCTCTTTGTTACTGTTAGAATAGCCCATAGGCTCACTGCCATGTTTTTCTTCTACCTTCTCGGGGTTAGACATGAAAGCAGTAACCTTCTGCCCTGGTGTTTTTCAGGTGTTAAACCTGGTGCAGTCTTATGTCACACTGCGCATCCCCCTCTATGTCTCCTACGTCTTTCACTCTCCTGTAGCGGTTGGTGGCTGGCAGCACTTTGACTTGCAGTCTGAACTACGACTCACCTTTGTGTATGATACTGCCATCCTGTGGAAAGACGGCATAGGCAGCCCCCCAGAATCAGAGCTCCAGGGTGAGGAATAAGAGCTTTCCTTATGATTAAACATTATTTCGCCAGGATCCCGTCTTCAGTGCAGGAATCCTGGAGTAGGTAGTGTGAATAACTTGGGCTGCTTCCTGGCCTTAAAAATCACAGAGGAAGTACCAGCAAGGCTGATTCCTACTATTAAAATGCCCAATGTTTTCTTTTTTAATTATATGTGGCATTGGCACTATTGTATAAAATCTTTCCCCCTTTTAAGTCTACCAAACACTGAAGAAGAAAAAAACAAAGAAGATACACGCTTTGGATGATAGACGATTTGCTCCCACAGACCACCTCTGGGGGGCAAAGTATCTGATGGATTCATTTTTGCAAAGCAGTAAATCCAGTGTGGATGCCTCTGTTAATGAGCACCTGCTAAAGAGTAATCTCACAGCACATGGGGCCAGAAGTTCTTGTGTTACAGTGTAAATCATTGTATATCTGTTGAAATCTAGTAGTCTGGGGATCTGAGTGTAATGGGGGTGGAGGAGAGGGAATAGGTCACCCAGTGAGTGATGCAAGTGTGCAGCATACTTCATGTTTCTAAACGCTTAAACTAGCCAAAGGACCTTTGTTGAAAGGCCGGTGAAAGAACAGTCCTTGATAGACATGACAGATTTTCTTCTTTTTAGGATCTCTCTACCCAACCAGCATGAGAATCAATGATGAAGGGCGACTGGTTGTGAACTTCAGGACAGAAATTCATTTCCGAGGACAGTTGGTAATGTCTCACCCAGGTAAGAGCCTCATTCATCCTCCTGGGCTGACATCTCTAGAATTGTCAGTAGTGCTGCTTTTTCATGAGCGCCAGTATTTTGTAATAACAAGCTTGTTTCAACAGAGTAAATGAAATGAACATCACTCTCTTCACGAGTGCTGGGTAATTCCTGGGTTTGTGTATTTCCTCAGTTGCTGTATGCTGACTGAGTCTGAGCCCTCTTGTATAAGGAGCTCATAACTTGCCATTTGCTTTTACAGGAACTTCATTATCCTCAATGGTGATGTCTGCTGATCACCCTGGTCTCACGTTTACACTGAGTCTCTTGCGAAGCGAGCCAACTTTCCACCAGCCTGTTCAGCAGTGGACCTTTATCTCAGACTTTGCTGTGAGTGTATATGGGGAGCTGGATATGGGAGACAGAGGGCTTTCTGAGTGCAGGTCAACATTCACTCATATTCAGGTGAAAGCTGTCTGTGCAGCAGTTTGCATTGGAAGACCAGTCAGAATCCATCCAGTTAGACTGACTCTAGTATATAACAATGACAGGGGTAATTTAGTTCTTTCCTTCTCAAAGCTGTTCAGACTGTTGATGTTCACTTCATACTTTCTTTTTACATAATGAATAATCATAACCCCTTCTGGGGTCCCTAGCTTGCATTACCTCCCATATACATTGCCAGAAAGGGCAAGTGATTTGCCCAGATTAGAGCCTTGTTCAAGATGAGAGTTAATTGGTCCCGTCTCCTTCTGAGCAGACCAGAGAATGCTGCTTGGACAGGTGTGAGGGTCACAGAAGCAAATACGTAAGGCAGTGACTGACTCTACAGTGCAGTGTGTGTGGGCAGATGCTGAGCCTACCTGGATTCCAGTGCAGGGCTGGAGCTCAGCATTGGATTAAATAAAGGAGGAACACTATGGAAAGAGGAGAATTATGCTTTTGGTTATTTTCAGGCTGCTTGATATAGATAAGAAAATTAAATGGCTTTGAGGGAAAATAGCACTTGAAAGATCACTGCAGCATTACATTTGAATTCTGCTGTGTAAAATCTTCTGACCACCCTTGGCTCGCAGGACTGTAGATTTGAAATAACCCAAAATAATGCATGTTTGCCCAGAATAAACCTCCAAGTTTATAGAAGCAGAGTTAAGGGGAATTTCACTGCCTGGGTGGGAGGGTCATGCAACAGGCCAGCTATAGAGCTTGGAATAAGACCAGGTCCTCTTCCCTGTTCTGACCCTATCCAATACCCCATCACTGCATCCCTGAGAAAATAGTTTATCTGAAGTGCCCCAGTATAGTCTGGATTCTACTAGCCTGTGAAGCAGGAAGGTAGCAAGGGGCACATCTACATGAGATGTTTAATGCAGAGCTGCCTAATTAGCTCCACAGTAAAGTTTCCGTGCCTACATGTGCAGCCCTAGTAGGCCACAGTAAACTCTGTCGTAGGATAGTACTTGTACTCGCATTGCAAGTACTATTCTACTACGGAGTTGTTTACTGTGCAGCATTGTACATGTAGACGCTGATAGGGCTGGCTGGGGCCTGAGGGTGCTTCAGGGAGGGGCTGCCTGCCAGCTAGCCCCACACTGTGGCACCCTCATGGCTCAGTGTGGCACACTGTGGCACCCTCGGGGCTGTGCGCTGCTGTTCCAGGCACACATTCAAATGTGGTGAATGTTACACGATATGTGTCAGAGTTTATTGCTTCACATTAATTGCGCATGTAGACATCCAGGGAGAGGACCCTTGTATTTTGAATCTATATCCTACCTAGAATGAAACATCTCTATTATAGACTTTCATGCCCATACCCTCCAAAAGTATGTAGGCACCCAAATTTCATTGCTGGCATTTGATCATCTAAACCTCTGGCCTTGGAAATGATGGTATATATGTTGAACTGCAGTGTTAGCTGTTCAGAGCCTGTAGAAATGTGCACTTTCTAACAGTGTGTTTCTTTTGCCAGGTACGAGACTACTCTGGTACTTATACTGTGAAATTTCTCCCTTGTACTGCTGCACCCAACAAGGAATATACCCTTCCCATCATCTGTAACCCTCAGGAACCAATCACCTTCGAGCTAGATATTCGGTTCCAACAGGTATGGTATTGTGTTTTGTTCAGAGATGAACATTCTTGGCACACAAACAAGTGGGCATAAACTGACTAAAAATCAATTCATGCAGGAAATTAGAAGGAGACTCACTTGGAGGACTGAGGTTCTGGAGGAGCTTTCTTATCAAAGAAGTAGAGGCAAAAGGTAAAAAACTAGCCAGTTATGAGATGGAGCTTAATTAGCTAATGAGGGAGGTGGCCCAGACATAGTTGCCTGCAGTAGCAGGTGACTAAAGAGAATCTCCCAGGTCATTAGGTCATCTTGTCCTTAATATTGAACTCCTAGTAGTCAGATAGCTGTAGAGCAGTGCTTATGGCTTGTGGTACACTGAGATCCAATGTAATTGAGAGCTCTTTTCAGTTGTTTATTTCATGGTTTGTCATAGCCCAGGGCCCAACCCCTTCAGTGATATTTTGCACTAAGCAGCCTCTGCGAGCTGTTCAGGGAGACTAAAAAGTGCATGAATTGAAAATCAGATGCTGTTTTTCATAACGTGGAGCTCCACAATTCTGAATGTTGTCTAAAGCTGAGGCTAAACTAAATGTAATGGAATTAAACTGACAGGATCCTGTAGTGGTGCCATGAGAAATCAGGCCTATAGATGTGGACACATGCTTGCTCAAATCATAGAATCCTTCTGTGCTGGTGTCAATAAATGCAGTACTTCAGATCCATCATCATGGGTGGAATAAGGCATATCTATATGGTAGTTTGAGCTAAAGGATTGTAGAACTGAGCATTGACTTTCTAACCATGGCCTGTACTCTCAAAATTCCTAAAATTAAGCTTTTGGAAGGCTTACTTAGGTACCTACAAAAGTGACCTGACTTTCAAAGGCATTAAGCACCCAAGCAGGACATACCGATTTCAGTCAGGGCTGCAGGGAAGTCAGCACTTTTGAAAATCAGGCCACTCATTTTAGGTATCTTAAAACAGGTTTGGCATCTACTATGAAGCACCCAGTTTGGAAGGTCTTTGCCTATGTGAGCAGAACTCTTGTTAGTTCAATACAGATTAATTAAATGAACAATTTCCATTTATGACTGTAAGGCTCCAAGAGAAATTTTCTGCAGTTTCCTCTATCATATCAGCAGCACAACCATATTGTGCACAAAGGAAGTTAAGCATCCATAGCAAGGAACAAGGTTTGGACATCAAGTAGAGGAGCTAAAATTGCTATGGGAGCCAAAGCTTTGAATAGTTACCAGAAAAAAAACAAATCCCTAAGCCTGTATCACTAGTATTTGGGGGGTTTCCCTGCAATTTTTATTAATACATGGAGAAAACTGAATGACACAGAGACTGAGGAATGGTAGATGGAGCTTCTTGCCCTCAGAGCATGAGCTTGAATCTGAACAAAAACCATTTCTGACTGCAGACTGTTGTTTGGAGATGGGAAAATGAGTTAATGCCCTCAGCTAAGTTTCACTATGCACGTTCACTCATACAAAGGATTCTTCCAGTCGATTTTGCAGGTAGCACAGAGAAACTGGTCATGTGTTCATACCTGGGGAAACAGAAAATGTTAGTATCCCAGGCCACGTCCTATTTCACACAACATTTTACAAACTCTGAACATTGGTTGAAAGAAGGCCAATACACTGGTTTGCCTCTTTAATGGAGTGAGGAAAGTTGGAGATGCATTCCGTTCCTTTTAGCACTATGATCTCATGCATAAGATTGGTGTCAGAACTCAACCAGCTAGTGGTTTTATCTCCTATATAATAGGTCTGATACTGCACTGCCTGTATTCATTATACGTTAGGATTTGGGAAGTGCAGTGAGTTACCCAATTAGCAAAATATCACTAAATCAGTGATGTTTGTAAAGCTGTAGCTAGATATCAAAGCAGCTTTGTGATGATTATTTTTAATTATTTCTGTCACAGGTCAGTGACCCAGTAGCTGCTGAGTTCAGTCTCAATACTCATATGTTCTTGCTCTCCAAGAAGGACCTCTGGATATCTGATGGTTCCATGGGATTTGGAGAAGGAACTGATGTGGCTTTTACTGAAGGTAAAAATAGCCTATACTCCATTGCTGTCCACATAATACCCTAATGATGAATGCTTATGTGAGTTCCAGAGAGTGGCTGCATTTGATGTACTGTTTCCTCACATTTTCCTCAGTGTTTCCTATTGGCTAACTTGTAGAGATCCCTGCTTAGCATGAATCCTATTAATCCTATTCTTAGGAGCCTATTTACTTTGCCATAGCATAGTTACCCAGAAGTCAGGCACTGCAGTGCTCATTGATGTAACTCTAGGATTTCAACCCAATGATAGCCATCATTCACCTTGATTTGCACCCAGTGTTACACAACACATTTGGCACTCTAGGGGAATTCAGATAAACCAACGCTGAACCAAAAATCATTTTGTTCAGACTTTTTCTTACTCGTGTCCTTAGTTTGAAACCAAACCACTCTGGTGGATCAGTTTTTCATATTACTTGACTATAACAGCTATCAAGTTGGATACCCTTTTTATGTGAATGTGGGTTACACCCCAATAAGAAAGGGAAAAAGGATATTGTTACTGAAGGACTGCATAGTAAAAACCACAAGATCAACACTATCATCTAACTGAGTAAGGACCAAAGCCAGTAATAAAGACATTATGTTCTACTAATGCATGTTGGCAGATGCTATTTCCACTGTTATTCTCTAAGCTGAGTGCTTAACTACAAAGCTGTAATAATCATATGGCATTTTTATTGTTTAAATAAACTATTTATTGTTCGTCCAATTGAAAACAAATTATTTCCTATGGTGGTCACATGGGTTGCATTTCCTTTATTAGGGTCTGAAATCTATGGCCGAGTGATGGTGGATCCTGTTCAGAATCTAGGAAACTCTTTCATCTGTAACATTGAAAAGGTTTTTCTGTGCACTGGGGCTGACGGGTACGTGCCCAAGTACAGTCCAGATAATAAAGAATACGGATGCCTGGCTGACTCACCTTCTCTCCTGTACAGATTCAAGATCCTGGTATGTAAATTGTTTTTGTTCTTTTTTTTTCCTCTACAGTAATTTAGATGTTAAAAACTTGCTAATCTGGAAACAGCACATTTACTTTTCCTAGGATAAGGCTCAGCCTGAGACCCAGACGAAAGCCTTTGGAAGCATGGAGTTTCAAGCTAAATTGGCAATTGACCACACAGATGCTCTTCCTTTAGTAAAGCAGCCTGGTTCTGATGGTTTCAGTCTCTCATCTGCTCCTCTTTTCCAGGTACATTCTCCAATAATTATATTGCAGCCTCACTTTTCTTGTAGTTGGGGAACAACATTACCGTATCACATCTCAGATGGAAACAGCTAAGTAACTAGAGGAGGGGTGGGTAAGATGCAGCCCACCAGGCCATTCTATCCAGCCTGTGGGGCCCCTAAAAAATTCACAAAATTAATATTCATCTGCCCCTGGCTGCTTGTCATGCAGCCCTGGATAGCTTGCCAAAACTCAGTAAGCAGCCCTTCGATTAAAATAATTGCCTGCCCCTGAACTATTGTCATCAGGAGCCCTGCTTTAGTTTCTTGTTACCAGAGGAATTATTTACTTTATGCTTCTGGAATTTGTTCAGTGTCCTTGCGCTTTCAATTTATAATCAAAGGATTTTTTTTTTTTTTTAAGGTGGCAGCAGGCCGAGAATGGTACATTCATACTATTTACATGGTTCGGTCAAAAGCGAATGCAAACAGAGCAATTGGCAAGAGAAGCCTAGAATACCATCATGTGTTGTCCCCTGGTAGCAGAGAAACCAGCCTCGTGACCTCGAAGCGTAATCGGAGAGCTAACCCAATTGCCCCTGGCCTGTCCCAAGACATTGGAGCAGATAAAAACAGGGGCACAAATATTCAGCATATAGCACTTGACCGTTCCAACAAAATCAACATCAACCAGAAAGATCTGTTCCCAGCAGGTGGGCATTATCAGAGGCCAGTGCTGGAAATCGCCAGTGAAGACTCTGAAAACAATATTGTGCCTGTTGCCGGAGGAGCAGCTGGGTTGCTGCTTCTGATCTCCACCACTATCTTTATAGTGTTTTTTTTAAAGCGAGAGAGACAGCCCTCTGCTGGGAAAAGAAAGCCATCCATTACCTGCTCCAGCAGCAATGAAACTGTGACCACAGGACACAGCAGTAGTGACAGCTCGGAAGTCTAGGGGCTCTCAGAGCGTATTATACGATTTCATCACAAAAACAGATGCTTAACCCTGGCTAAGTCCTTTGCAGAGACACAGAACCGACTGCTTTGATTTTGCTGTTAGTCTTGTTACTTGCTTCTGAACATAGGCAAGAAGGTGTGTGTGTGTGTTAGGTTCAAGTGTGAGTGACTTGCTTATAGAGGTCAAAACTGTTTTCCAGAATGAGCTGGCACTTGTTTAAACTGCCATTTTTTTTTTCAAAACAAAAAAGAAAAAGCTTTTAAGAACCAGATTGTGCAGCTATAAATGTGCCTTATATCCACAACAGAAGCCCGGTGCTCTTCAAAGGGATGTTGGTTTTAGTTACTTGTACAGTATGTAGGTGTCATAGTTTTTGTAAGATAGGAACTAAGAAACGGTGGATTTTCACTCCTTTGGAATGAAACAGGTTTGTGTCAGTTTCTAATAGGAGACATTGGTGCCCAACAAGCATCTTCCCCTTTAACAGCTGCAAGACTCAAATCAGATCAGAATGACTAGGTTCTGATATGCTACAATTAACTACAATAATTTTGTTCTGCGTGTACATAATGAATAGACCGTAGTTTCCAATCTGGTACGAGTACCACCAGTGGCATGCAGACAGCCTGTCAGTGGTACACGTTAACAAACTTATTATAATTATTTTATACGACAAAAATTTGCTGGTGGTACTTAACGTTGTATTGTTTTAAATGGGTGGTGCGCAATCTGTCAGAGTTTGGGAACTGCTGGAATAGGGATTAGAAGCCTACACTGACTCCATTGAAAAACAGTGACTGAGGGCATGCTGACACGGATTAGGGTGGCTCTTGAGATAGAGTAGCTGAGTCCAAGTAAGAACTATCAGAGCTATCCCCCAATTGTGCCATGCTTAACAATCAAGCAGTGATGCATCCTCAAGATTCCTTTGGCAAAGCCCATCTAAGAACTGCAGAAAATCCAAAGACAGGAACAGGGAGTTGTAGGACTGCTGCTGGCTGAGAGCATGGCATTCACCATGCAGGTAAGCTCCAAACACATTGGGGAAAGCAGAGCACAAGATGCAACTGGGAGTGGGGTTTATACTCAAGATAGCAGTGTGTATAGGCTTGAAGTAGATATTTTGGGAACCCTCCCCAGTGTAGGCAAGCCCATACAACAGTGAAATCCCACATGCCAGTGACAACTGATAAAAGGTGGGTACTCACTACACACAAATTGCTTCATTCTCTTTCTATTTCAAGACATCCTTTCTTTGTTGTAGTTAATGGGTCAGTGGATCACTTGTTTCTTCAAACAGCTCCCTGGTGAGGGTCCTGGGGTTGTGTCACTATAGATGGTGTTCACTTTCTGCAAACAAACTTTACTCAACAACAATAAAGATTTTAAACCCCTGGGTACATACAGGTCACTCATCTTATCAAAATATGTCGCTTGTGGAAACTACATGGGAGGCAGTGGCAGGGAAGGACAGAACCCCACCATTCTGCCTTGACACAGAGGCAGTTAAATAAGCCAGAAAAGGCCACAACCTAAACCGCACTATGGCAATAGAAAATACTTATGTGCTCCAGCAAGCAGAAAAGTTCTTTAATCTGTTTCTCTTGGAGATCTCCATTATGAGCTTGTATTCTAATGGTAAAAACAAGAGGCAGCAACATGTTTCTAGTCACTGCTCAACGATCCTATGAATTTTTTCAAACTGCTTATAAATACTGAGTAGTTTACAAATTATGTGAGGAAACCACACACACAAACTTTTTTGCAGTATGCTAATGGACTGTTCAGAAAAGTGTCAAATAAATTATTCACTCAATTCTTTTGCTAATTGCAGCCTGTATTAATCTTGTGTGAATTCTATTTCCAGCAGTTTTCATTGCAGGCGAATCAATTTTAGGGCTTGGGGGAAATAATTGGCTTTAAAAATCAGTAAGATCAGTAACTGCTGTAGTACCTGGCTCAGGAGACCGTTTAAACCATAATTGTACTTAACAAGGTATATTTGAAAGCCATTTTTCTTATATGGTTAACAAGGTGCTACAGCATTCAAAGAGAGCTACTTAGACTTCTGTTACAGATTTGACACTAGTCTTGCATCAACTTTCTAAAAACAGGCAAAAAGATGTGTGTTATGTGAACAATGAGTATTAGAACGTATGCTCCCCAGTTAAAGCATGGTTAACCCATTGATAGTCATCTGGAGGCAAGTTATAGACAAAGGGCACAGAACATGCTTGTATGAACTCAGTAAGTGTTGTCTTATTACACTATATCCCAGCAATTGTACAGTAACTGTTTTTATAGAGACCTTATACAATGCTCTGTTTTATTTGTTCGCGTCTTAGTGCTCTATAAAGGCAACTGTGTGTGGCCTAAGGAGGAGATTTAAAAAGGTGAATTTAATGCATGATGAAAGACCAGTGTATAGTACAACAATGTTTCATTCAAACTGAGATGTTCTGGTTTGTGTTGTTAATTTGCAGCTCCTTCAGGAAACATGCTGAATCTCACTTTCTTTGGGAAATGCCTGTGATGGTTTATCCATACCAGTTAGTTCATGTAACAGAGACTGAGTGAGCTTGCAATGGGGCAGCTCTGTTCCATCGCAATTCCCGTGCTTAGGGCTTACCCTACAGTTGAGCAGAGGGGCTTACCCCCAAATACTTGAACTCAGTCTAACACAAAAGTCACAGGGCAGTCAAAACTAATTTAAAAATGCAAGTACATTGTTAAAATGTCAGAGACTGTAGGATAGGTCTTAGCACATCCTAACAGGTGCTAATAAAATTTACAATACTCCCACTCTGTGTGACTGATAGCATTTATTTCAGTGACAAACAGAACACACAGAAATGTTCTCATATTTTCTTGCATATCACATGCACCTGGATTTTGAAGGGGAGCCTGAAGAAAAAACCCCAAAATGATCTTTGATTGAAGTAAGTGGTAGCAGCAAGGGAGCCAAGCTTGCTGCCAGCACCACATGCTGGAGGGGGCCCATGGGCTGAGCCAGTGCACCAGGTCCTGGGCAGTGCACCAAGCCTGGGACTGCACCCTGGCTCTGGAGCCAGAGACCATGGCTGTGTTGGTCTGATCCAATGCACAGCTAGGGAGGGGAACCCCACGGGACAGAAAATCTGGTGGTGGGGGCAGGAGAGGGGAGGGAGCAACAGTAGCAGCTCCTAGAGCTACAGCAGTTGGCTTCTACCTCTTCTTCCCCCCCTGCCCCCCTCCCTCCCCACCAAAATTTCTAAACCTGTAGGGATCCCTTTTCCCTGCACATAATTCACACTTCAGATTTTCCCCAGCTGACGAGGGGGGCAAGGGAGGTGCAGGTTATGAGCAATTAACCTTAAGTTCTTTTTCTATAGGATGAGACCTATAAGTTAAAGAAATTTGTTTTGTTCAACTGCTGACACTTGAATCAAGCACTAACTACAGTTACATGTTATCAATTCACTCAAAAGTCCTCTGACTGCAAAATATGCTTGTAGGAACCAGAACAAGTTGGGGAGAAAGGTGGCCTGGAAGCCCTCTTATTACAATGTAAACAGCATGTGCATTACAGGATTCTCAAGCATTCACACTCCAGTGGAGCTATTAAAAAAAAAAAGTCTAAGCCTTGTATTAATAAATGAAGCCTATTTTATTACTTCAAGTGTTAATGGTAAAAAAAATTCAGCACAGCTGTTGCATTTAAAAAAGTGAAACTACAATAAGTACTATGTTTCTAGTTCAGTAAACAGATGAACCCGATGTCCTTTAATGACATAATAGTTGAGCATTGTACAGTACATCTTATGAAGACCCGTAAATTAAAGAACTACTTTTTAAATTTAGTGATTATAAAAATTCAGCATTCACAGCTTTAGCTTCTTTTTCCTTCCGCGACCATCAGGAGTACCATCCATTTTACGCTTCTGTGCCTGAAAGACAATTTTTATATAAAAATTAGTAATTTTTTTTTGTAAAGAATTAATAATATTCTCTTAACATGGGATATTAAAACAGATTATGAGAACCCAATATTTAATCAATATTTTTAAATGGGTTCAGATTAACTGGCTAGAACAGGAGTTCAAAACTAATAATAATCAACCCTTGTCTTTCAAAACATGCCTCTGTGCCAGCCTAAATTGTAGATCACATTTAAAACAATCCTGTTCAAACACTCTGCTCAAATTATAAAATACCCAAATGTTTCTTATGAAGAAGCGTGTAAACGTTCTCTCAATTACTTGCAACAAACAACCACCATTTCTGGATTTTAGGAAATCGATGTAAAAAGTTTCCTGGGATTTAGATTATCTAAGGCACACAAAATTGATAGTCATTTTACATCAGCTATTCATCCGTTAAATCTTTCCTGTATTCTGTCACTTCCTTCTAGGAGACGCAGGACGTGAAATACAGCAGGCACTGTGCCTATCCTACCCATACTGCCAGTGATTTGGGTTTGACAAGTTGATACACTGTTTTCACTGGAAGAAAGTGTGAAGGGGAAATAGAAGATACGAAGAGAAACAAATCTGAGTTCTGTAAAGCCACTTGCCTTTACATCTAAATCTAGATAAATACATATGTACATATACAACACACACACACATTTTATGGGTTGGAACTTCGAAACCAGTGTTGAATGTTCTATTAGGTTATAAGAGAGAAAAAAAAATCCCATTACATAAGTGGTTTCCCTTTGACCACATACAATATTATGTTATACCATCATTAAACTGCCAGGTGGAGAAGGCAGCTCATAGTTGGGGTGCATCAATGCAACTACCTTAATGCAACTAGGGCGTAGAAAGCATTCAGTACAGCACAATCTCTTTATGTTTTTACTTACGTATCACATCTTGGATATTAGTTAAGCTACTCTAAAAACAGGAAGTGTTCTGAAACCTAGCTAAAAATAGATACCATTTACTTATTTTACTAACCACAATTTTAATCCCCAAAAGACCCCTGAACCTCTAGTGGCAGGATAAAGCTTAAAATCTACTCTGCGAAAACACTGCTGATAGCTCACACACTTCACATACTTGTTTTTAAGATACACCAAACCCTGCTTGAGTCCCTAACACACTTTCACTTGTATACTGTGCCTTCATGTTAGCCTTAAGACTCAGGCACAAGAATGGCAACCTTTTAGAGGGACTTAAGCAGGATGGAACAGATTTGGACCAGGAGTTTATTGGAGCCTAAGGCCAAAAAAAAATTCCATATTCAAGCTCCTACTTAATCAGTTACTGGCCTTTAATAAAGTATCCCTGAAAGCACTTATTTTAAATACAGTAAATGTGTTATTAGGGCCTCCTGCCCTCCAAAAAAAATAATAAAAAAAACCAACAGATCAGCTGATCAGCAAAAATGTCATGGTTCTGTCACAGAACAGAAAGTCAACACTGAGGTCAGCTGTTCTGTTAAACTGCACCCTGAATTTACCAATAACTTTAATGTGTTTAAGCAAATTTAGTTAAACCATAGGGTTGTCCAATTATGCTAGGTATCTGCTGATAAGAGCTTTAGCAGTTTTTTTGCATAAGAACACCACATCTGCATCCTAAATGTATACAGATGGCTTACTAAATTAAATTTGGTAACAACGCAAACATGATTAACAAGCAAAGAACACCAATATAGTATTTGTATTTATGAATAAATATACCCACAGGAATGGGGGCTCAGTCGGTTCACCAGATAGCTGTATTGATTCATGAGGCAAAGTCCAGAGTGGAATCTTTGCTATTCATGATGCTTTAAGCAAAAAGTCTAAAAATTTTGGTCTCAAGTGCCTAAAATTACGCTTCCAAAAGCTAAACAACTCTGATTTACTTTCCTAGAAGATAGGCTCCGAAAGCTGCAGTTAAGCACTTGAGTTTGAAAACTACAGTTAAACTGGAAAATTAATAAGTGGGACACAGAAGCACATGGGGGACAGAATGATGTCTTAGGTAGCATTTCTCAGACGGCCAATACAGCACCCACTAACATATTAGAACAGCAGAGATGTAGCCTGTGTAGGTTATCAAACCAGCTGAAGAGACATTTAGGATGCCAACGTTTGGAAAAAACCTCACCGAAGAAGGTTTTGGTCCGCGTTTCTTCTTCTCTGCCTTCTCCTTTTCTTCTAGTTCCATGTTTTCTCTTTCAATCAAAGTGATTAAAGTATTGCATCGCCTTTGCAGCTCCTGATTATACACAACACATTAACTTGATTATTCAAAATCGACAGCATACCCATCTCCAAACAAGACTTTACGTTAATTGGAGCCTGTGGGGTTTCTTAAAGATTTATTTTTAAAAGTTCATAAACTTAGGGCTGCTATAATTACTGCTTATGACAAATTATTACATTTTAGAATGATTAAATACAGAAGTTTAGAAATTAATATTAAATCTCACCTCATTAAGACAAAAAGTAATAAGTTTGGAGTGAAACCCACAAAATAAGGTTTCACCATGGTCTAAAAAGCTTAATTAATTCCTAAATTATCCCTATTAGCTGGTTTAAAAATTAAACCCTAATGCCAGTTTTCAATTTTGGGCTATAAAAAGCATATTCCTATGATGCAAACTGCATCTATAATTAATCAGCCCTATATGAACTGCTGTAATTATAGATACAGATATATTATATGAATGGTCACAAGTGTGCAGTAACTATTTTCTGAGCTCTGAATTCCAAATTGTCTTACGTTTAGTAAGATTTTTGCAAGAGTTCCATATAGTAGATAAAAGCATAAAAATTACATCACACACACATTGTTAAATGTTGAAACTGCATGAAAATACACACACACACCAATATGTACTGTATGCACACATGCACCTGGCATCTGCATATTGATGAGCAATGTAGCCATGGGACAAATGAATTTATCATACCCCTTCAGCTGCCTACATGCCTTACATTCCCATCAGAACTTAAAACATTAAAAAAAAAAAAAAAAACACATTTAAATGTCAACCTGCTAAGAAAAATGTCTTGCACTTGAACTTCATCCCAACCATACAGTAGGTTTAATAAAAGGTATCACCCACAAAAATCCTTGCCTCACAACCTGCTATGAAACCACTTCATCCTTGGTAGCATTTGTACAGATAGTTCCTAAAAATATTCAGGAACAAAACAGTATTCAGATGAGAATTTCTAATTCATCCAGGAGTTAAACAGATCCAAATCAGCTCATACCATTGCAGTTCTGGACTTGAGGAACCAGTCAAATCTGAACTGGGGAGAGTTCCGAATACATTGTCTCAATTCATCATAAACATTTTCTTTGTCAAATCCTAACTTGTGAAGCATACAGATCAAGAAGCGATCTTCTTCTTCTGTGTAATTCTTCCCTTTATTAGTCCCGTATGATATCCTTAGCTGGTGGAAAGGCGCCTTGTATCTGCCAATCTAAAAGGAAGAAAAATATTTGAGCAAAGGTATGAAATAATTAGATACGCAATTTTTTTATATCAAGTTATATAGTTCACATGCACCAGCCATGGAGACAATTTAAAAATATTTTGGAAGTAAGTTCCTCCTGTTCTTTTCCTCTGCCAAGCTGTAGTTTGTGCTTGTGTACCTTAGCTATTAGATTGTTATAAGGAGCTACGGAGTCATTTGTGGTTTGCATTTGGTAGGATGTTCCCATGGACACTTTCCATCTTACCATTTATTACCTGGACACCTGTGTTAGCAGGCAATGTGCTTTACTTTCAGCCTAGGTTTCTTAAATAAATCTTAGCCAGTGGTGAGAAACAATAAAAATATATATACATGCAAATCACTCTTCCCCAAGGGACACAATCTCGTGCTGAAATTACTCGTTTCAATATCTGAACAGGGACACGGACAGCTGATTCAGACATGTTTGTTAAGGCGATCAGTGATCCAGCTACAGATTTTTGCACCCTAACAGCAGTATCAGACCCACAAAACTGTCACTCAAATCCCACTGGTAGCTTAGCAGTAGAGCTCTATAGAAAGACAAGGTGTGGAAGGTAAGTATTTCTTATTGTTAGAACACTGTCACAATTCCAGTGCAGTATACTGTCAAATTCATGAAGTCTTGGTAATTCCTGTGCACTAAAGGAATTGGAGGCTTGTATATTCTTATGCCAATGAACTTTTATCCCATGCTGTACCCAATAGGTGACAGTACTCTAACTTAATAATACTGTGACACCACACTCTGGATAGTATAATTTTGGCCCAATACCTGGAAGAATGACACCATTTCATTTCTGACTGTCCCAGCTCCAAAGAACATAGTAGGCTGTTAAGAATTTCACATGCTGAATAATTCATGTTGCCAAACTACAAGAGAGGTGTCAACTAGCAGTTGATTAAGTCATTTATAAACAGTTTGGCAGAATGTGGGTATCATCCACAACAGGAAGAAATTAGCAAATCAGTGGAGCAGTTATCAAGCTTCCAAATACTTTTCCACAGTATGGAGAGAAATGATGACCCTTTATGAACAATGACTGAGAAAAAGGAACTCCACCCTTTCCCCTGGGCCACAAAAGAGTGATTTAAGCCTGGCAGAGATCACATCCCTACAAAGGCAGGTAAGCTAGGTCCATTTAGCCTTAAAGAAGAGACTGAAAGGAAAAAAACAACCCTGAAAAAGGACAAATACCTTTGTGTCAAGTGCCTTCTTTATACTAATCCGCCTCTGAATTCTGGCTTCACCCCTTTCAATCTGAGCCATGATCTTTTCTATGTCCTGGAGTTCATTGCATCTTTCCCAGAACACAGCTAAAAACCAGAAGTCACTTGTTAGCCTCTTCTCATACACTTGACAAATTGGAACAAGTTGAGTTAAAGTAAGGTTTTCATCATAAATTGTTAAAACATTGCTCACTTCCTTTTCCTTTACTTAATACGTAAATCCCAAACGTATAATAGCAAATCACCATGGCACTAGTACTAAGAACTACATTACCAAATCAAGCTGGTGATTCTTCATTGAAACAGTATTGCTATGTTACTATCTTCCATTTTTTCTGCAACCAAACTCGCCAGTCTTTCCCCCATCCCTCCATCCGTGGAGCAGGAAAGAGGAAGAACAGAAGTTTAAGCAGTCAGGCTAGTTGCATTTGTCCCTGGATACTGCCTATTTGCCCCAGGACTGATGTGTATACATATCACCCCTCTAATCAGAGTTTAAAGTGAGCAGCTTAATTCACTGCTGCTTTTGCCACTGATTCCACAAAATAAACCTGGGACAACCATTCAGATACTTTGTCATATCCCAGTATAAACTGTCAGTACTTCTTATGGCATTAACCTTTTTTAGGATTTACCCCCCAGACAATAGAAATGGACATCTGATGGACTGCACTTTGTCCTGGGATAAAGTGGTTTATCCCAAAACAAATGCAATGTCTGCTTGTAGGCAAAGAGACCAGGGCCAGTTTTTCAAAAGGTACCAAGCTACCCAATATGCAGACAGGCAGCTAGTAGGATTTTCACAAGTGCCTAGTGTTTATCTGTAAACAACTCAAACTCTGACTGCAGAAGCCTGCAGATATTACAGTGGGAAATGCCACTTCAAGTCTCAGAAGAAGGCAGTAGCTGATTTGACTTTAGCAGTGCTATTTGCCTTCTTTAAATGTTAAGTTAAAGAATAAAGTAGAACTACGTTATCATCAATTGCAACATATACAAAAAGCCCCTCTCCCAGTGATGTTCTAAAAGTGTAGCATGTAAAGATGTTGGGAGGCCTGTTTACTTAGAAGGAAGGAAAAAAAGAATCATAACTAAATTTCAAATGGCATACTTACCTTTTCCTTCTGCAAAAGTAAGGGCTTTTTCGTTTTTTAAATAGAAAAAAACCCTGTCTTATTAAAAGTTAAACAGCTGAATCTGAAAACTCAGTTGATTGTAAAAGAAAATAGACTGGAATAGCTACGTTGATGGACATCTTACTGCACCTATAACTATAGAGGATCTATTTGTATCTAAATACATGTTCTATTCCCAAGTCAGATATATGCTCCCAGCCTGAATTTTTCAAAAAGTTACATGTGAACTTCTCAAAAAATAAAGATACATTCCCGGTATAAACATGAAAAATGTCTACACTTTCAAACTGGGAAAATAAATACACCAGGAACAATCCACTACCAATTAGTTATACATTCATGCAATAAAACTCATTTAAAAATAGAAAAATATTACCTGAATACTCAATTACTTCTTCTGGTGTTTTCCCTTCTACTTCCCGAGCTATATTTTCAATGTCATCACGGCCCCATTTTTCATTTGCTTTGATGAACTGGTTAAAATCTCTTTTATTCCAGTTGGTAAATCCCTTTAAAGCAATTAGAAGTAGACAATGCAAAAGTCCTTCAGTTGACTGTTTTAGATTTTGCTCATTAAAAACAAAACAAAACAAAAAAAAAAAACATTAATTTTAATTATTAAAACAACACCCTGAAAAGCCCTGATGTCATAAACCATAACCACAACAACAAAATCCTAGCCACTGCATTTTGCCATTAAATGGGTTTATGGTAAAAGTGTAGTAGTCCTTATCCAATTTCGCTTATGCCCTCTTCCCCAGTTTCACATCCCACCCCTTCTTCCTTTTAGTTGGAAGGCCTTAATTAAATCACAAATGCCCACTCTTCCCTAATCTTCCACTATTTCTTCTTACAAAGGCCACTCCTAGAGGAGAATCAACTCCCTCTTCAGAAGCTGACATTCTAGTGCCTTTACATGTTCATCAAGAGAAAGAACATCAGATAACCATTAAAAATCATTCAATGGGAATACTTGCTTTTCTCCAGGAGCATCCTTGTTGCATCTTTCTTGCAGTTCATACTTTAAACTGCTAGATAACATCCACAGGAATGACACTTGATGTGGACACATGTGAACCAGGAACTAAACTAGAAACATCTAGATATTTAATAATATCCTAGTCCCCCTAAGATGGATCCATTTCACTTGGGTAAAGATATTATTAAAAAAGATGAGTAATTAAAAAAAATCTTTTTTTGTCATTTGGCTCTTGTTTTTACTATAAAAATATTCAGTCAGCCACATCATTTCACAGCTTACCTGATTAAACAGATGGGAGAAACTATGAACATTTATACACATACATTTGCTTGGCTCTCTAGCACGTTGGAGCAGACTTGATTAATTGAGTGTCCTGAAGCACGAAAATTTACACGCTACGGCAGCCTTCCATGTCATGTGTATCAGCACTACCACATGTCTCCATGCTGAAAAAATGGTGGTGGGGC